TGAGCTATAGGAGAAGCACGACAAGCTACACACCACACCGCATCGCAAAAATTGCATCCTTTACCAACGCGCACTTATGCACACGAATACAAAGCTACGACACATACAGTACGCGACAGGTTGTTATGACCAGCCTCATTTTTGGTCGTAGCTCCCTCAATTTTGGGAGTTGAGGCTTGCTATTTAGATATGTTGTTTAAGACGTAATCGCGCTGTTGAGACTTGTTTTAACGACGGTGATATCGCATTTTGAGAGGGGTCTAGTATACAAGCCACCGCATTTGTGTCTGCGTCCATTAATAAGACCACCCAGTCCAATACAAACAACAAGATAAAAATGAAATGGCTACATCACTCCCAACCATTTATTCAGCAATTGTCACTTGCGCTCTACGGCTTTTATTCATTGTTTGGACTCGATGGGACTGGGGCCAGCACTTTTGGACGAAGAGGAGGGAAGGATCAAAGGGCTGTATGAAGCTGGCTGCAGTGAACGCGAAATTGAGAGACGTGTTGGCCGCTCTCGTGGGGCTATTAGCCGCGTACTTTTTGGAAGCGAGAGAGAGCGAAAAAACCTGGACCTGCTGCTGCTCTGACGGACCGAGAGGTTCGCTTGCTGCTGCGCACAGCGGCCAAGGGCGACTACTCTGCACGGCAGCTCAAGAGTGAGCTTTGCCTGTCGGCATCGGTGCGCACTATTCAGCGAGTGCTTGCCGGTGTCGACTGGCTAGTCTATACAAAGATGAATAACAGCTTGCCGCTCTCAGCGGAGGACAAAGTGGCTAGGGAAGAGTGGGCGTGGGCGAGGATTTTCAACACGGATGCCGCCGGGTCCTGGGATGCCATCATCTTCTCGGACGAGAAGAAGTAGAATCTTGATGGTCCCGACGGCTTCCAGACCTACTGGCGGGACATTCGCCAGCCGGTTCGACGGACGAAGCGTCGACAGGCTGGTGGCGGATCCGTAATGGTGTGGGCGGGGTTCAGCGCTGCTGGCAAGACGGAGCTCGCAGTGCTGCATGGCAAGCAGAACTCGGACGACTACGTCTACACTATGTCCGAGTATCTGCTGCCTTTTGCTAATCTTCATTATGGTACAGATTTCGTCTATCAGCAGGACGGAGCGTCCATTCACCGGTCCAAGAGGACGAAGGAGTTTTTCGAGGAACAGGGCATGCATGTGCTTCCGTGG